ATTTATTTAATATTACTTTCTACACCAGGATCTTTTTCTACAGCTGACGGCTGTAACTGTGCAGGGGCGGATCTAGCAAAGTGTAGCCTGGGGGGCCGATAGGGCATGAACAGGGAAAAGGGGGCACAAAGACATACTTTTCTTTCTTATTCTCATTTAAAATGTCGAGCTTTTAATAGATAATTATCTGAGTCTTACACCCAAAGTTTTAATTTTGTGTAAAAAGTATAGAAGTCCATCACTGTATATAGTGACTGTTAAGTCTAATATACCCTAGTAAGCTATAGTACTTTTTCCTTTGGGAGGGTACCATCTTTGCAGTCTGCAGTTCTGTTGAAGAAAGATGTTGAATCTATTTAAATATTCTTGAAAAATAATTGATTTCTGTGCATTTTTTTTCCACACTGCGTCAAATTAAAGTTGATTACATCGATTAAGCATCATGAGGTGGAGGGTGGGGGGGTGGTTCCCTATTTCTTTTTGCTGGGAGTTTGCAACCCTATTAGTTAGGTTGCTTAATATTTCTGCTAAGTACTCTTTAAAATACCAGAATAGGGAGGATGGAGCAGGTTTAAGTTTATTAGATTGATCAGTGTTGCTGAGCTATGAAATATTTTGTTGTATTTTTTGCATACAGGTATAACAGAATAGCTTTAGTGTAGTTGTTGTTTTAAACTTGAGTATGAACTTATACAAAATGCAGCAAGATATTTAAAAAAAACAGTTTTGTTGATTAAATCGGTATCGGACAGTAGTAGCAACATGAGTAGATTAGTAGTAGAATGTAACTTAGAGCAGGACATTACTTCAGACTGATCAGAATCCTAGGGCTCTTGTCCAGTTGAGTTCATTTATCGCTTCTTCTGTGACTTGTGAAGATAATTGTTTGCTTGTCCTTCAGACACCTGCATCAGCTCATTATTGGAGGCTGCACTGTCTGGTAATGAGGAGCAGAAACCCTTCGACTGCACACTGCATCCTGACTTGAGTGTCTTGGTGGATTTGGCCCTGGGTTCCTCTAAAGAACCTGCCAACAGCCTTTGGATCAACATGCATGAGTACGCTATTGGCAAAGGTTTGCATCTGTTTTGAGTATATACAGAATCCTACCATTTCTTTAATGCAATTAGCTTTACAGGTATATACATTCACTGACTGCACTGTGGATTTTGTTGCAGACTGGGACAATGCATCTCTCAGTAATGAGACCCTATTAGACACTGTGTCCAGGTTTGTGTTGGCAGCCTTACTGAAGCACACAGGGCTGCTGGGCCAAGCCTGTGGAGAGGGCAGGTAGTACAACAAAATACACCTTTTAATATATGGCATGAAGCATTTCCATACTGTCCCACAGTACCTGTCTAAAGGAAATATTTTCCTATCAGGTATCAACCATCTAAGTCCCTGGCAGAAGTCTATCGCGGTGTTTTTAAGGTACGAAACCGCTTACTAGCCTGTAAGAACATGGACTTCATCCAGACACGATCTTCTTCTCGTGAGAGGAGGGTAAGTAAACAAAGCTTCTTTTTTTTTAGTTTTGCCTCTGCACACCACTATTTAAATAAATCAATGTGTGATTCAACAACAGACTTTCACCTTTAATTTAAGGGGTCAAAAAAGTGTAGCACAAACTGTTTAGGAACAAACCAACATAATTTCAAATATAAGGGTTGATTTTAATACATGGGTGATGGGTGTCTCTGCCCTAACTTTTGTCTTTAGTAACTGAAAAGTATCTTTTGTTGGACTGAGATCAAGTGTGTGATTGATACCATAAACACAACGTTGCAAAATGAACAACAGTTTTTTAGCACAATCAGCTTTACAGCTTCCTCCCTTTGTGCTTTATGAGATTGGCACGGCTGAGGGTGGGAGAACACATCTGCAAAACGCTGTTCCAATGCAGCACGTCCACTCTCTGCGTCTGTGTATGAAGCGCCTTGAGGCGACTTTTGTTGTGATTATATATAAATATATTTATATATATTTATATATAAATATATATATTATATTTATATATAAATAAAATTGAATTGAATTGAACTGTGTGAGATGGTTATTACAATGGAAGGAGGCTGGTATGTGGGAATTAGGTACCTCTGGCCCTATCTCATCTCTCTCTTGTGATGCCCTGGTCAGTCAGTATCTGCAGACTCGTGCCTGCACCACACTCGTTGCAGAAATGGTGCGCAGAGGCACTGCTTCAGGATATCGTATTGCATAAGCCACCAAAACTAATACAAAGTGATATCCCTGTGCACTCCGTTGAAATGGCCCGACGAGGTCCGTGCCAATGTGAGCTCAAACAGGACCTCCATTAATGGTAATGGCGACTCCGAGCAGGACGCACACCATCGGCGTACATTTGGGGAGGAACACCCTTCACTTGGTGCGGGAGTATGAAAAGGAATCAAGGAAACTAGTGGATTATAGGAACCATCTTCGTTTTAACGAAGATGCAGACAGAACAAGGTTGTTCCTAAGAGTTTGCGCCTTGGATCCACCGTCAGGGGATACAGAGTTGATTCTACGGAGAGCACAAAATCAGCTTCTAAGTGAAAGGATAAGACAGGTCCATTTCACTATAGCTGATTAGCAAGATTAGAGCAAGATTTGCTAGACTCTGCAGGAAATGAAAACCCTTCTACTGTCTCCTATCTAAGAAGAGGTTTACAAGTTTGTGGACAAGGCTCAGCGGTCCCAACACTCTAAAGAAAAAGAAAGACAACGCAGGAAATTCCACAACTTGCTTTCAAAAACACTCACTCCTCAGTCTGAATCTACACAACTCAGAGAAGAACACACACCTGAGGAAGTCAGGAAAAATGGGTGAAGAACTTTTCAGACAGGAATCTCACTGAACCTGAAAAGAGAGTATTAGCCAAAGGACTCAATTTTGCCATTTCTTCGCAACAGTTGCCCATAGTGGACCTCATCACAGCCACAGAATTAATAAATTATCACAGACGGAAGCAGAGCAAATCAGGATGAAAGTCTCAGTCACCCTCTCCACTGCCAAAGTTCCTCCGTCCAACTTCCTAAGCTCCACAAAGAAGCTGTCCCACTCAGACCCATAGTCAGTAGCATAAACTCAGCCACTTACAACATTGCTAAACACCTTGCTACCATCCTTGCGCCTCTCGTGGGGAACACC